TAGTTGCAAACAAGATCTTGAGTAACTCTACCTATTAAACATATAATTTTTATTTTGCCTTGTACGAACTAAAAACTTTGCTACAACTGAAAACATTCCCCAATGTGGAATTTAATTATTTTTGAGATAATTTGATCATAATTAATGCAATGGAAGTATAAAGGACAACAAATACGAAATTATAAAGAGAAATTTGCACAAGAATTAACTATTTAGGTGGATACTGGATAATTTATGAAAAAAATCAAAGTTTTAATTCAATATTCAAATCAACCATCCTACAGCAAGATCATAATACCAACTATTACAAACCTCTTAACTAGACTTTTAAAGCAAAACAAACTCTATAAAATTTATCTATTTGGATTAAATAACTAATGAAAATAAAATCCTTATTGAACATAAAATGATAATAGACTAATTAATTAAAAATAAAAAATAATAAACAATAAAATATGAGAGCCGCTATTTACATCTACAGAAGTTATATATTCATCCCACTCTTTATCTATCCCTATTAAAATTCTAAAAAAAAAAATTTTTATTTAAAAATACTATTCTCATCCAAGTCATATTTCAACATTATCCTTATTAAATTCATTCATTTAAATACTATACATCCACACCATTTTAACTCAGACTTCATAATCAAAACACAATAACATAAAAGTTAAAACTAAGAAATGCGATTAAAGCCACTCAATTCACATAGCAACATAGAATTGTTAAGCAATCTTATGAAATTCAACAGACCCATTATTCTGCCCAGAAATCCGCCAAGATCTTTCTTGAGTATAAATGCTGAGAACAACCTTACAGATTTGAGCAAAAAAACCCAGAAAAGAAGTCTAGAAATTATCGCTCTAAATTACAGAATAAAAGGAAATGGAGTCACCTTTTGTGGAGATTTATTGGTTCTCGATTTTACCGCAGATTCTCTTTCTTTCTCTCTGAAGTCTTCACTCTCAAATGAGCAGCAAAAATATCCAGGTAGAAAAATGAAGTTAACACCGACAATAAAGATAACATTTTTATATTTGGAAGCTGGTGGCAAAAATGGCGTCGGACTTGAACTTTATCTGCTAAAATATGCATGCAGTTGAAATCTACTACTACTAGCATGCGTTAACGGTAAATAAATGCTTCTTTGCCTATTACTAAAGAATAAAGACGATCTCATTTCTCAAACTTCTTCCTTTGCTTGTAACTTAAGCTTTAAATTTTCAAAACTTAAAATTGATTTTAATTTTCAGTTTTCCTTCATTTTAATATTTAGGTTTAATAGAAAATTAGAAGTCATAATTATATATTTTAACTTACACTTTAATTGAATTTATTTTCATTTGTGTGGGGATTTTAGTTGTACACTATAAAAAGGTAGGAGATTCTATAGTTTGGACACAACATAAAAACACAACTTGAGATATTGAATACAAAAATACTTCATCTATATTTTATATTATATTTCTATAGTTTTGACAATTCGATGACTCGTTCTTTTATCTCCCTAAAATCGTGCCCATTGAAGGAGAATCTGTTGTAAGCTACAGGGGTTTTGTCTCGGAGCCGTGTAGTACCGAAAGTACTTACACGAAGTGGAGATAACACAATTTTAGAACAGCATCTTTGACATGACTCCCAAAACTTACTTTCTAAATATCTTATCTGTTTTATGTTATATTACTATTAAATTGTAATTGTTATTTTATTATGTTAATTAATAATTAATCTACACACAAATCACCCATTCTTTTCAATAGTCGAGGTAGTACACGACATTGAACAAGAAAGACAGTTGTCGGAGATGAAGGTGGAAAGGGGATTGCAATTGAAACTCCAACATTGGTAGCGACTACTAGAAGGAGAGCTCAGGTGTCAATGGTTCGGAGAAAAGTAGAGACTCAATTTAAAGAGGAGGAAGTTGGAAACTAGGAAAAGACCGTTCCACCAACCCCTGCTTCAATGAGGACTGCTAGCTGGAGTAAGGTAAAGGGAGAAGATAGTACAGTGAAAATAAATATAGATAAATTAGTGGAGAGAAAAGCAGATTAATTTGGGGAAAAAAAACATTATATTAGTTGATGAATTTAGAGTAATATAATTTTATATATACCTATTTAAGTAAATTTACATAAAATTGAAAATATAATAAAGTTTTAATTTTAAATGTGGAATTTTATTTTTAGATGTGGATATATATATAGGTTGTGTTTGACTCACGTTCTTTCAAAAGTGACATTATTAAATAGTGATTTAAAATAATTTCAATCATACATTTTTCAATAAAATAATATTGCACTTAAATCCAAAATTTTTCCTTATTTTTTAATCATACATTTCCTATTGATACACTATTTAAAAATGTATTTTTATCGAAATAATGCGGCTCAAACAAGGGTATATATATATTCTGCAGGGTCTACTTGCATCATTCTCCTTTGATTGGAGAAGATTCGTCCTCAAATCTTGTGGCCCTCAACCGACACCTTGTGTTGCAGTGTTATAATTAATACGTCAATGACATAAATATTATCCCATATATCTTAATTCTAAAAATCTTGAAAAAACCTGAGTGACTAATAAAAATTTTCATTGAATCCCAACAGAATCACCCAAACATCCGTAGTTACTGTATTGCAAAATTGTAATTTTCAAATGTTTCACGAAATGTATTTGATTCTAAGACTCGTTCAGCCATGTGGCCTTCTATTGAAAACCAACCATTCAAGTGTTAAATATTTCATTTGCATCGTCGTCGTTTCAAGTTACCAACTGCCATAATCTGTGGAGGTCATCACCTGACATTGAGAATTTTTATGTCCATCCATATCGAGTTTCTCAAATTTCTTCTTGAGAATCTAGACATGAGTTCTTCATGAAAGATTGATGAATTTGTGTCTAACTCCATCTTAACATCCGTACAATAATTTGAAACACAGTCTTTACAGGGGCTGCTAGTCAATTCTATAACATCAAGCCCTCAACCACCGGAACGCTATACATCTTTGAGTTTCCGTTTGCAGCCCTATCCACAATTAGCCTCGGGACTAAACCCACTATTAGACTAGCCTCAGGCAGTCGCAACATGCATGTCACGCTCACCACCTCTTGCCTCTAGCCTATTGCCATAAAGGTCACCCACCATCTGGGGATAACCAATCTTGCCACCTTTTGTGCCTCGACATCAAGAGACTGATTTTCATTAGG